GAGACTGCCTGGCAACATTGAAAAGGTTTTTTCCCCTTGGCTAGGTACAGCTGATGTTGCCTGTCAGCTGTGGGATAAACTAGATGATCTTGCAAGACTTCTTTATCCAGTTTTGTGTGGTTCTCTGACTCTCTCTGGTCTGTGTTTTAACTGTGAGGTAATTCTTTCAAGGGTAAAAAAAAAATGGATTTGAAATTAAGTACTATACAAAGCTGAGTAAAAGTGAGCAGTAAGCCCTACCTATAATAGTATTCACCAGCTGGAGAGAAATTTCAAATGTCTGCTTGACAAAAAAATCCTCTAATACAAAATCTGAATGTATGCATTTTGTGTTAAGTGGAAAATTCAGATATCCCATGTGAAATTTATGATAGTGGTCCCTACATACAGGGCAGTTATTCTAAGAAATGTGGGATTCATAGAAATTGCTGCCTTCTTATTTGGAACTCCATGAAAGCCCTGGTACAAAACAGGAAAAACAACACAATTAGCCATGAGTATAAACACTGAAATGAGAGACAGATAATGTGGTAGTGTCCTGTTGGAGATTGTTACTGTAAACTTCAAAAAGAAATCACATGAACAGGAGGGACCTTTTTGTTGTTTTCCTTAGTGTTGTACCTGGGTTTTCTCTTGGTTTTATATTTGTCCCTCCTAATGCTGGGATTGTGGAAAATGAATCTGCTATCCTGGTTAGTCTTCGGCTCCAGGCGGTGAAGGCTTGCATATAGTTTTGTGTACAGTATGCCTGTGCAATTTCCATCAGAAGCAGGAAATGTTTATTTAAGTTCTGAGGGGTGGGACAGTTGCTGTAGTTTTAGGTAATTTTAAACAAACTATTTGAGCATCCTGTTTAAATAGAGTTAAGTAATCACACTTTTGTACTAGTTGGAAAAGAATTCCATACATGCATGATATGAATAAAGTATCATCTTACAGAGCATACCAAGGTGATATACTTACCTGACTTCTTGTGCAATAAAAGTTGTATCTTTGACCTTTGTTTTGCAACAAGTTTAGTGGCTAAACACATTCTATTATGTAACAGTACTCTACTAGAATATGAACTGTTTTGCATTTAAGTTTAATACATGTTGGAAACACATATTAGTTTCCTTGATATTTTCAATGGTCTCTGGAGAAATCTAATTCAAACGCAACTTTCTGAAATTGGGAGAAAAAAAGTGTGTTCACACAAAAAACTTAGTTTAGGGAACTAGTGAGGATCAGGAAGAATTTATTCACACCCAATTGTACGAAAACATAAATGAAGGAAAAAATGATTGTTGGAGTAGGATGCTAAGATTTATCAAATGTGCATTTCACTTGAGGAGTCCATGTTCACTGGCTTTCCTGAACGATTTTAAGTATTGTAAGAGATGAACTGAGAGACAAAAAACAGTAGTGAAAGGATTTGTTCTCAGACTTGTGTCATGGATGCCCATCTCAGTTTTGAAACTAGGAGACAGATTGCATGACTTATTTTTGTTTTGTAATATTTCAGTAATGAGGCTATGCTGAACTGCATATTGGGTCCCCCAGCTGGTAGGATTCGTTTGAAAGGGAAAAAAAAAAGTTTGTATTCCTCAAATTGCAGTGATAATTGCACATGGCCTTATGTCTATCAATGGGTTGTCTTTAGACTGCAATCTAATGTTAATGAGATTTTAATTGGAAAACAAACAAAGGACAGACAGGTTAATGACTGATAACAATTTTTAAAAAGTCTTTTAAGAGCTACACAATGATTATTGTAAACAATACATCAAAGTCTTTCTCTGTCTAACTTTCATAAAGGGTTTACGTAGAAGCTTGTTCCTTAACAATGCTATTATTCCACATCTAAACAAGTAATAGACTGTATAGTGTCATCTGTTAAATCAAAACTGATTGGCAAGATTATCTGGTCTTACTAGTAGGAAGGTCTTGGTCATTAATCACACCTTCACAAAAAGGAGCTGGATTGAATGTTATGTCCTTAGAGTTTACTACTACTGGTGCTTCTGAACATCTGCCCTGCTTTTCCCAATTTAAAACATGTATGATATTCCGACAGAAACAAAATATAGAACTTCTATCCAGTGGAACTCATAACATCTAAAACCAGGCAAATGTAAACCAGCAGGGAGTACACGTACTATATGGTCAGATGTTAACAAAAAAAAATATATAAATAAAACTAAAAATCAGAGAATGGCTTTGACGAGGGAAATCTATGGCAATAGTCAGAATAAAGTGTGAAGTATTAGTCAGAAGGATTTACTGTGCAGCTAAAGGGTGTCTATATTGAATGTCAAGAAGGATGAAAAATCAAATTGGGACACAATTAGCAGAGTGGAATGAGAGAGGTGGAACAAGATTTCTAGTTTAAGTGACAAGGGTACTTCTCCAGATAGTGATAGGGACAAAGACTAGAAAAGAGATTGCTTTTGGTGTTCAGTTTTGATGACACAAAGTGTGTAGGAGACTCTCAATTAAGAAAGTTGAGAGGTGAGACTGGAATCATAGAGATATTAAGACAGGCATTTTGTATTCCACTATAGTAGTTACATTTATGGTCAGAAAATACTATGGAAATACAGAGTGAAGTTGAACTTTTTTTGGTTTGACTTGTAGCCTGTTTATTTCATATCCAATTTTTTTTTTAAATCTTTTACCCATACTCTCTGCTCTACTTTTCTTTCCATTTGTTATTTTAAATATTCTCATTCAACCATACCTTTAAAGAAATTCAAGGAAAAGCAGGTATGATTAAGGGCTAAAATAAACGTTGTAGAAGAATCTAATTACTTCAGAAAACATATTAACTTACTTTGCAGTACTTTTGTGCTTTATAGGTGCCAAGAGAAAATTAATCTGTAATCTCTTTGTTTGTGATTTTGCCTTTTATTTGAGTTTATATAATTAAAGAGTTCCCAGGACTGCTTTACATTTATTTTGTTCATCAAAACATGCTTCTCAAATGTTATGAAAATGGAGTCCAAAAATAATACAGTCCAAACCAAAGCCATTCAGTTTTCTCTTGGAACACAACTGATGATAAATTCATACCTTGTATCTCATTTTTAGCTGAGTAAATGCTATGTTGTCCCTTAATGTATAATTCTTAAGAATGTTCACTTTATATTCTCCTAGTTCAGTGTTTTAATAAATCCTAATGGCACATACTGCAAGATGCATATAATCAGGAATAATAAAGTTATTTCACTATTACTGTTTGAGGATGAAATCCTCTCTGCATTGAAGTCTCAAATATCTCATTGGGTCTCTCAATGTGTGTGCTTACATTATGACAGAAAGGAAATAGTCAGAGGCTTGGGGACCTATATTTCGGTCATTAACTTTTGGTGAAAGATAGGGGGAAAAGTTTGAGTATCGAAAAAATAGTATATCTGTTGTTGTTGAGATTATGGGAATCAGGAAAAAAATGGACTTGCCAATCTCAGCTCATATTCATAAGAGATTTTCTCTTCTTTTGCGTCTTCTTTTCATGTAAATTTGAATCCCAGCTGATCATGTTATTGTCCTGACCAAAAAAAAAAAAAAAAACAGACCAGAGGCTGCTTTTAAGAAAGTATTTTTCATAGAGACTGAATATATTTCATAAAAAAAGGTGGTATCTTCTAGTTTTGAAATTCTGGCCTGCTGTGCATGTGCATGTTGTGCATCGTATTGTTTACTCCATGATAGTGGATGAGAATTAGTGTTTTTCTTCTCTCAAAATCAAACACTTTTCCCATACTCACTGTAAACAGAGAACAGAACTTTCAAACTATTTTTTCCTCTGAATTCTCATTAGAAAACTGAAATGTGTACCCAGGAAGGCTGGAAAAGTGACTCAAAATATCAGTCTGCAGCAGAAAAATGCAATAGCAGAGCAATTTTGATCTCTGAGCTGTTAATTCTGGTTTTAATAGCTATGGTTTTGATAATGTGGTCAAGTAAGCTGCAGAATCTGTCAGAAATACCCTTTCAAATGGAGAATGGGATGTGCATAAGGAAGAGGATTCCAGTCTCCAGCTCTGGAAACAGAGCTACTGCTAAAGCTTTTATTCAGACTGTCTAGTGAGAAAATACTCTGCTAAAGAGTCCAGGTTAAATTTTCAGTTAGCTGAACTGGAGATGTCCTACAGAGGTCTCAACTAAAAGAAAAGAACTTGAATTTTTAACTAAACACAATTTCTGATATTTAAAATCAGCAATTAGGCTTTTAGTGAATATGACAAAAAGCATTAGCTCTGTTTAAATCAAACACAGAGTGTTTGAAAATTATACAGTGTATATCCTGCTATGTTAGGAAATGGCCCTCATCTATATAATTGTGTAAACCAGCCTTTTACTGGTGTTATCACTCTTGGGAGCAGCAGTTCCCAGCTCAGTAGCAAGTTGAGGATCACCATCTGGGAGTCACAGTTCTAAGCACCATCACTTTGCATCAGCATTGTTTGCTTTATACTTGCAATACAGGTGCAGCAAAATGATACCAATGTTGGGAACGAGAATGGCTACTAAGGAGAATGGGAATTGCAGCTTCCTCTTCCTAGTTGTGCCCGCTCACATCCAGACTGTTGACTTTGGAAAGGTTAAAGTAGCAGTGTAAGAAAGTTCAATTTCGACAAGTGTTGGGAGAAGGTAGTTAGCCAAGTGTTAGTAATGCTCTCCTCAACTTGCAATCCAAATGGGTTTTGTGCTTGAAACACTGAACTGTATCCATGTGAGATAATCTTAGGCAATGGGCTTCAAAGAGACACTTGTACCAAAACTGCTCTTCAGAGATAGTCTGTAGTGTGGTGATGAGGAGCCCAGCAAAGGACAATGCCTGCATCTTCTTCTTAGGGATGTCCTGTCATCTTACACTACATTCCAGTACGAATATAGCTGTGCTTTTGACTGACTTCATGACAGAACTGGCTGCATTGGTGTTATCCTTCAACTCTAGCTTCTGAAATCCTAAGACCATCCAACAACTATCAGATTTTCTTTTAAAAGCAAGGCTGTAATTCTTGTCGGTTCCAGAGAGAATCAGACAGACAGCACAAGGACCCATATTTTTGCTTAAAAGAAGCAAAGAGGGTGGTACTTAAAGCCTACACTAATGTCAGAAGATCTGGACTATGATCTTGAATATTTCATATCAGCAGAACTGAGCACTGCAAAAGAACGAGGCATGGCTCTGAAGCCACGCTCTTTTGAGTAGGATACAGCCAGAAGCTTTGATGGTATTCTTCAGTAGGTTTTCCTTCCTAGAGAATGGTAAGAAAAATGTTGGAAAATGTACCTAAGTCATAAGCAATGTTTTACCAAGAACACCACTCTACCTGGCATTCTGCATTGGATCCAGTCTGGCAGTTTCCATGTTCCCAAGATACAGGGGGAAAGGTGCAAAGTTTTTTTCTGCATCCTCTTTCTGTAATCAGCAAAAAGTCAGACAAACATTTCTAGCCTCCTCCAGGAAACATCTCTGATAAGTATAACGTTTAGGCATTTAATGAGCAGGATTAATGCACATGCTTAAGTTTAAGGATATTTTTAAGAGCTGTGTTCTGAATCTGAATCATAGGGTAGATGATTAAAGACAAATTACAAACATTTATGAATTTCTGAATTCACATATATAAACTGTGTAATCTGAAGTCTTGGATTCACTTGTGAGAGGTTAATTAACTTTGACCTTGTGTTGTTTTTCCTTGCCCAAAACAATGTCACATCTTGTCTCCTTTTCTTCAACCCCACACACCAAACACCATGAACTACAGCCAAACTGCACTGTGACATCAAAGTTGCAGAGGTGAAGTCCCATGCTTACACACCTGTGACCAGAGAACAAAATGTTTGTGTCACATGACATGGGAATTGCCTCCACCTCTAACTAAACTCATGTGCATATAGATGTAGATAATTAACAGTAAGGAAATAAAAAATGTGAAGTAGGCTTCAAACCACGGGTAAATGGGCAAAGAGTTGATGATTTAGGGCTGTTAGTACAGGTTAGGGAAAACTATGAAAATTTATAAGAAAACTTAAAAAAACTAGAATCTAAATTATGTCAAATGAGTATGTGTCATCTCTTTGCTTATGTCTTCACCTGCATTGCCAGTTTAGATAATAAATGGTTCAAGCACACGTTTAGTTTGATTGCTGTTCTCAAGTAAAGTTCATTTCTAGACATCTTCCATGTAAATAAGTTGGAAGGCTTGAACTTGGAAGTGATAAGCCTCAGAAGAAAATTAAAAGAACCTGATATGTACTTTATTGACATAATTCTATTTCATTGTTTTGTGAGAATTTGAGGCAATTCAAAAAACCATTTATAACTGTTTGAGTTGGTTTCTGTAACTTAACATTTCTAAACGATTTTTACATAATTTGAGAAAGATGCTTTGCAGACATAGTAGCTGGTAAGAGAGAATTGAAGAAATAAGAAGACTGTCAGTACTCGACAGAATTTATTTTATCTTTTCATAGTTATGGCTAAATTATAAAAGAAACAGCATCGTTTATGTATCTCTGCTATTATATAAAATTGATTATAATTCCATATGTATTTGTTGATGTGTGGAGGTTTGTGTGTGGGTTGCTTATTGCTACATTTTGATTACCATTTTCTCACTTCTCACTTTGAGACTCCTGTCTCATATTCTTTAGGTTTGGGGGATTTTGGTTGTCACCTTTTCCTTTTTTGGAATTCTAGCATTTGGGTTTTTTTATTTCTTGACGTAAATGTTCTAGTCACCTAAAGCGTAGCTTCAAGCAGTCCTTTGTGTGACTAAGAGAAATCAGCTAAATAGCACTGTTTAATTAATTTCAGGACCGCCTCTTTTTCGTCATGGAATATGTAAATGGAGGAGACCTAATGTTTCAAATCCAACGCTCACGCAAATTTGATGAACCTCGATCCCGCTTTTATGCTGCAGAGGTCACATCAGCACTCATGTTTCTTCACCAACATGGAGTCATCTACAGGTACTTTTTTTGATCAAAAATAAAGTATTCTTGAGGCATTGGGCTGGTTTTGGCTGAAATCCTCAGTCTCTTAGCAACCAGATTTAGATTAGTTGTTTGTTCCAATTTGCTTACACAGGACTTTTTTTTTTGGCTGTTTATCATTGAGAATGTTAACATTTGAATAGCCTCTGCAGCGGTCGCCAGCTGTGTGTGCCAGTTTTGTATTATAGTCCAAATAAAGTGGGTTTGAAAAAGCTTGGCACAGTGCGACCCAGAGGTGACCTTTCTGCAGATCGGTGCAATCTCTTCACTTTCCTCTCTGTGCCATAGATTTCCTCTCAGTTTCTAACTCCCTGCCACTTCCTGAGTTTGTTTGTCCTAGTTGTCTCCACTCTGATACAATCGGGATGGTCGTTTGCAATGCTTTACTTATGCCCCTTCCTCTTGACTGTTTGGCTGAAGGCTTAGTCACCAGCAGGAAGTGCCTCTTTGGAGACAATTTTGATTTGCTTGCAAGTGCCCTGCATCTATTTGAACCTCCTCCCCGGTCCCAGTCTCTAATCTTCAACACCCATGCACACACACAGACAAAAAGTGCATATTGTTGTGCTGTGATGAAGAATGCATTTAGGGATAGGCTTTATTATTAAAAGTAAGGATTCACTTTGAAAAATTTCACCCTGATGTTAATGTGTTTATTAAGTCCTTTATCTTGTCATTTCATGCTTCCTCTCTTTCTTTATTTGTTTTTAGCAGCCTATCATTGCTTGAGATAAATTTGGGCTTTCACAAGCAGTATGCTTGTGATACAAGTTGTCCTGTCTAGTAAAAACTCTGAGTTCTGTGGATCTGAGCTCTGTTATTCTCTTGATATTCTCACCCTCTTTCAGGTTATCAGTTTTGATTTGAGGTAGTCATCTCAGGGACAGGCAGTCTCAGATTTCTTGAGCAGAAACATCAAGATGAGGATGTAGAATTTGTCACATCCCTGGATTCATATTAAGGCAGATCTTAAGAGTATTAAAAATTGAGAGAAGGGAATTTTAAGTGTTTAGTAACCAGGACTGAGTGGTAAGTTCTATCGTAGGCCACTGCCTTTGCCATGTACTGGGATTCAAAGGGAAATTTCTCAAAGAAGGGGTGTCCTTTCCGGAGACATAGCAAGCAGTAGGACATCACAGTTTCTAAGGAAGATAAATCTCTGTGAAAGTGGTCTTTTCATCAAAAATCCAATTTTCTTTATAAAATTTCTGTTGCTAGCTGCATCTCTTAATCTCCATTTTTTGTTAACACTGGTATGATGTTTGCTTAATGGGTTGTACTTTTGGCCCTACCACTTGACATGGGTTTGGTTTTAAGTGCTGAAGATCCAACACATTTCTTACCTTTCCTGCCCATATCAAATTTCCTATTCATTGTCTGCATTTATTTCCAAAGCTGGGTATTTGTACATTTAGGTAATAGAATGTGGCAACCTCAGATTTTGTAAGTATCCATCACAAGAGAAACAGACAAGCTTGGCACTTTAGAAAGTGAAGGATTTTGAAGATTTGTTTCCATAAAATACTTGAGCTATTTTCTCCTTCCTGGAAACTGGAGGTAGTCACTTTGTAATTAGCAGGCAGTTTAATGATTTCTGTGAACCAGCAAGAAAGAACTGGTATAAAATTACCTCTCCCTTCTTTATATGTGTGCATTCATTCACCACCATCCCTCCAGCTCCCATCCTTTAACACATCCTCTTCTCTCTCTACTCTTTCCTGTCTCTTTACTCTTGTCATATGTAGGTTTCTGCTGTGTGTTGACTCCTACCTGCATTGAATTGTTTTATGTGCCTGTGTTCTTTCTATGACTTTTTATCAGCAGAATGCTTCAATCACAAGAGAAATGTCATGCTAAGACAATGTTTTGTAGTTTAAACTTCACAGTGTACTCACAATTTCTGATTCAAAGGCTATGCTGACATGTCTTTTGCATGTTAGAATATTACACTGAAGTTGTACATGGCATGTTATATTGAGTGTATGATCAGAAGAGGCAAAAGAAGAGAAATAACATGAGTTGTAGGATGAAAGCAGAAGCAGGAAGAAAGCAATAGGAAGAACACTAGGAACAGATTCAGCTGTATTTTGTTTTGACTTAGGCTTTTGGATCTGGACATGGCAACGTCTGTAAGAATTATTCATTTTCCAAACTATGGGATACTAGGAACTTCAACTATTTGTAAAATGTACATCAATATTTGTAAAATGTACATCCCATTTACTCTATAAAATACAAGTTGAAGGAAGAAGTTAGTGATTATTTTAAAAGAATTAATCATAAGAAAATGTCACAATTCATTCACAATGTGCCAGGCCCTGGCAGAATGCATTTGTTCATGTCAGGCATATGTTAGAATAGTTGTCTTGCACAGAACAATTTCAGCCTAATTATTCCATACCTCACTGCGTTATTTACTACAGTGTTAAAATGCATTGGGATCAAGTCACTCCTTTATGTCTCCAATGATCTTATTAGCTGGCAAACAAGGAAAGAAAAGGGAAAGAAAAAAAAAAGAAAATAAAAAAACCTATGGTCCTGAATAACTACCAGTCATAACTACCTAACGTGCCTTCAGATATTTTAATAAAGAATACTTGTCTTCTGTGTAATTATATTCTAGAAAAAACATTGTGGTGTGAAATTAATGGTTATTCTCCAAAGTGGGAAATGCTGCTTGTGTGGGCACTACTTCAAGGAAAGTGGGGTATATATAAATAAACTAAGATGTTTGATGGAAATGAAGGTTTCAAAATAGCTGCTATACCTTCTGATCTTTTTTCAGCCCTGTATGTGAAAGTATTTGTTTGGAGCTAAACATGGTTATATTTTGGGAAGTAAATAACTAGCTTTAGCTCATGTTTTGGCTTGTTGGTTAGATTTTTAGAAAGTGCTATGATGATACTAAATGATCATCTTTTATAATAACTAGTTTATCCTCATTTCCCCTGGACTTCAAAGAGAAGGCAAGCTCCCTGTTTGGCAATAGAAATTATTTTTTAAGTTCACATCTTTGCAGCTGGCCTAACAATTGTTCCCAGACTTACCCAATTATTGGTGTGCTCACAGGAATTACATGTCTTCCTTTTGTTTATTGAGTCTCTGTTGCAAATAAAGATGAACCTCAGAATTTATATATATAAAGATATTCCTGTTTCTGAATGCATCTTGTGTGATAGATAAACTTTACAATAATTTTTAGTGTGGCATTTTTAAAGGTATGATGTTACTGTTGTTGTGTCAAGAACACTTCAACAGCTTAATAAAAATATTTGCATTATCCCTGACACCTTCCCTCTCATCTGGCATTCAGCAATTCAGGCGCATGTCAAGCTAGGGCCTGATAATACAAGTAGAGTCAATCAGACACTGGAGAAGTTTCAGTCACAGTTTCTGGCAGTCATCTTGTTTGTGTTATACAATTGCACCACTTTGAAAAAATGTATCCAGGCTTCAGGAATTAAGGGCTAAACCATGAATCTCGTTTTGCCTGCGAGCTGAACTGGAGTTTGAACTGAACAATGAAAGGTTGTGGACTATGTTCAGTGTCACCTATCCCTGGAACCTCATATTTTTAAAATCTGTCATCATAAGCTTAATATATTCTCATATAGGGAAGATGCAACAAACTGCATGTATGTAGAAACTGTCAGTTCTGTATTCTCCTCTCATACTGACTTTCAACTCTCCTGTGCACTTTCTGCAGATATATGTAAACATGTTTCACCTGCAGTTGTTGGGCTGAGGTCAGGAGTACCTGGGTGGCTG